TATATATATATATATATATATATGTATACGTATACACTAAAATATACACGCATATATATACATATACAACCCCATATACTATCATTGACCGATGTCTTTTCTGCTAATCTTTGATATTGTCGCTGTACTTTTACAGAAAATAAAATTGGAACTTTGATGATTACCGATCGAATGATCCCAGCAAATCGCAGGAATAATCTTCACACAATTTTATCCCAAGTTGAAACCACGATGTCAATTATTATTGGTAACGCATTCTCGCACATTGCCATATCGCATGTTCCAGAATTAATTTTCAAAGGATTTTTCGTACAGTTGTTTTAGTTTAATTTAGTGTCTACGAAGACACTATAATACTAATAATTAATTTCTCAGTTAATAAGGTTTTGCGGAAATGAGATTTTTTTCTCGTTGCGGAATCGAGAACGGAGAATAACAGAACTTTCTCGACCTGGCGAAAGTTTCGGCGGATGCGAGCGAGCAAAGTGCGAGTGTGTTGTTTCGTTTGATTCTCCTTTCAATACATTTTTCCTGAAACTATTGTTGAATTCAGTGTTCGCTATTGGAATCGTTAAACAAAGCAGAACAATTCGATCATCTACATTTACAATTATAATCACATTTTGTACAAATCAAATTAGTATAAAAATATAAAGAGGAATATTTGAAATTTTCTTTCATAATTAAAATATAATTTGTAGCAAGTAAAGTATTAATTATAGACTGTCTAATCTTTCTTACAAGAATTTTGAGAATAAGATGCGTGTGCAAAGAAGCATTTGCAACTTGAGGTAACGCGCGAAGGTGGTCGCCCCCTGACCCGTCACGGGCCATGCACGGTTCGAGAGATCGATGCACCGCATTCCCCCACACACCTCCTTCACCCTTCGCTCGTCGGATTCCCGCCGACCGAGAGGTTCAACAGGGGTTGCTGGCCTCGTCCGGGCATCCACGGCAATAGCTCGTGGCCCGATGAGCATTTCGCTGTAATTCCAATGATTTTTTTTGCAAAAAGAGATAATCTCAAATCAGAAATTTTTTAAGCTCGCATTTTATAAAAAATCTTAAAAATATTATACAATTAATTACGTAGTTATATTTTGAGATCTTAAGTATATTAATTGAAATACCTTATAATGAATTAGTTATCAAAACGGATTTTAATTATAAAATATTGATTTATGGATTATCATGATGGATCATCATCTTAATTGACGCGAACTATCCTCCCCCGTTCGAGAAGTCGAAGACATAATTCGTCATTCGAACACAACCGTTTGAAATGGTCGAAGACAACGAGACTTAACATTGGTAACGCTGACAGTTCATTGACTTGTATCAAATGCTCGCGCCGATTGACAGCCCGGGCGCGGAGGTGCAACGGTACATCGTTCTCTCGATGGGCTCCGCACGAAGTTGAGGTAGGCGAGGTCGCGCGTCTGACGTCATGGCGGAGTTACTCGGCGACGAGCATCGCCAACTTTTCGTACGCGTACGTGCATCGACGCACACTCGTAGTCGTCGACGCGACGACGACGACGACGACGATAACGACGACGCATGACGAACACAGAAACATATAGAAGCTTCACGAAGGGTCCCCCACGCGTTGCACGTTACATAATCGTCGCGCGAGGTCATTGACCGATACACAACGGGAAATACCTTCACACTAACCTACCCTTTTCTCAATTTGTCTTCATTTTCAATTCTCGTCTCCTTCATATCTCTGTGAGCGACTAACGGAACGGATTTGGGAATAAAGATAAAAAGGTACATTAAATAATCAAGGGATTTCTATATTCACATTTATTTGCGAGCGGGTGGATATTAGAGGAGTATTCAACGCGAGGGTAGGAATCCGAGAGGTGGAGGTAGGGGGGGATAGGGCAGGTCGTTCGGAGAGGGTGGCTCCTCTGGTCGGTAAATAGGTGGGGGGGAGGAGGGAGGGAAGAAACCCGTTAGTAGAGCGCTCGCGAGGCTCTATGGTAGCGCTCTATAGTAGATACGACGAAGAGGACATCATCTAGAGTTCACTCCAGCGCGAGAGAGAGAAACTGGGAACTGGGAGAAAGAGAGAACCCAAAGAGGGAGACGGCCGAGGAGCGCCAGTCCGCGCAAGGGGGACTCTCACTTTCACGCGGTGAACTGCGGGTGAACGTCCGGGAATTAGGTCACAGTGTCCCCCACCTCGGTACGCCAGAGGCAATGTGCCGAGGCTCTATGTTCTCTGTGCTAGAAAGAGCCAGTCCACAGCCAAGCTTCGATACAAACGGTCGCTTCTTTCCTCCCTCGAAACTCGCGTTGTACTTAGGTACGCGCATCCACCGCGGAGCCAGAGTACCCGACAAGAGACTCCACGCGGGTTTGGTGAACGCGCAAATTACGTGAGGACAGTGACTAACGCGAGCTGCCAGAGACAGATTTTCCCGTTTTCACGGAGAATATTAATCACCTAGGTAGCATCATTAGTTTCGGACCGAAGGATACGTGAGCGAGTGATAATCATTTGTTTAACCTGGACGAACCAAACGGCGCGGTGGTCTACCGTATTCGTTCGGTTCGTTAGACGCCGTGCGATATTTATCTCAGCCGGAGTGGATTAATGGGGTGCTTGTGCGAATGTGATTTGGCCGCCCCGCGTTCGGGGACCGATTGCTCATCGGGGTCTTCGTCGGACAGCGACGGTCAGATTGACGAAGGTTTTGTTGGTGATTCGCAGGGCTTCTTTCGCCGGAGCATCCAGCAAAAGATTCAGTATCGTCCGTGCACCAAGAATCAACAGTGCAGCATCCTTCGAATCAACAGGAATCGCTGCCAGTATTGCCGTCTCAAAAAGTGCATCGCCGTCGGCATGAGTCGTGATGGTGAGTCTCTTTTATATTTTATACACAAGAATAGACTTTAAGTAATATTTGTAATGAATCGATTGTTATTGGGAAAAACGTGATTATTTAATTTAATTATTTAATCGAAAAATATTCGAGGATCTTAGTCTAATCTTATAATTATACTAAAACATTTCAACAAAAATGTAATAAAATAATTTACTTAAAAAACTCACTTAAAAAAATACTGCACTAATTTTCTTATAAACAGATTCGCAAGTTGACCAAATCTTTTTAATTATAAAATGTCGTCACACCAGATAAAATTAGATAAAATATCACATATACATTCTTTTTTCTTTCGCGCATTGTGCTCTTTATAAAAAAGTTTCTAAAATTTAGTTTGCCGGGTCATTGACCATTTGCGTAACTTCGTTTCCCGCGACACGATGTAGTGTCGCAACGGGCGAAAGTGGCCAATTCGCCGTTTGAGAAAGCAACGGGGATTATCTTTCGATTGGTGCAATCAGATATTTTGCTGTCTTTCCGACCAATTAATAAAATCCTGACCGCATTTTGTCGAATTATCAGTAACGCAGCTACGCGGGATGCTGCACAGCATCCCTCGCCGGGATCATTGACCTAGGTCGTCGACATGTCGCGCGGCGCCAATATATATATATATATATATATATATATATATATATATATATGTAGTATGTATATATATATATATATATATATATATAAAACATATATCGATATATATTGTTCTTTTCAGAACAAAATTATAACGCGCTTCTTCTCTACATAGATACAAAACTTGATATTTTTATGAATTAATTCGCGGTGATGCAATTTTTCAGCAATAGTAATTTAAATATAGCCGAAAATATAGTAGACTTATAATGATATGAAAATTATCTCTCGTCGTAAAAAAAAAATCGTACGCGAAAAAGCGCATCTACCGATATCAACGTGATCCGCGGGGTCAATAGACGGCCGTTGCTCGTCTGGTGAGCGACTCCGTACCGTAGAAAGAGTACCGCTACTCGCCGCTACGTCCCCCGGTGACCCTCCCACCTTCTTCCACCCTCCTTTCACAGCACCGCGCCTCTCTGTCGCCTCTATTCTTCTCTCGTTCCCCACCTCGGCGGTAGCGATCGTTGTCGCTCGCTCGGCTTCTTCGGTCGTGGAACGCAACCATTCCCCACCGACGGTGATGGCGCGCCGTCGCGTGGCGCTACACTCCATGCGGAGACCTCGCGAACTTTGCTTCATAACTACCAATTCCCCTTCCTCGAGAGATACGCTCTTCTCCTCTCCGCCAATCTCCCCCTTCTCTACATTGTCAGAATCCACCTGGCTGGTAGGCGCATGCTCCCGTCGCAGGCCACTGTCTGGCCAGAGTCGTACGTGACTAACTGGTCATAGCGCTTCACGCCTTGCTACGGATAATTTGTCGTCGTCGACGTCGTTATTATGACCGGGCGCATTTTCTCCACTTTTATCACGTTGTACTTTCAATTATGAGAAATCGCGAATACTTACTTACTGCAAATGCAACCTGAAAAACAAGATTTATGTCCTTGAAGTTGAAGCGAACTTTAATACGAGATTGACAAAACTTCAAATTGAAAGAATAAAAATATTGAACTTTAAATATCGAGTCGCTTTTTCGCTAGCAGACTGGGACACTCCAATTTTCGATACTTTTCGGAATTCATTATTTGGAATCAAAAAACGCGATTCTTCATAATATCCGATTACATGCTATCGTGATTAAATTAATATAAAATCATATGTATACATGAGACATATTTTTATGATGAAAAATTCGAGAATGATAACTAACTAAATAATCAGTAGTTCGCTTTAACTTATAGGATGTACGTCTTTAACGTTAAAGATCGATACTCTGCAAATAGATAAGCTGACTATCGATACTAACTGGTGACAACAGGATAGGTAGATAGCGAGGGGTTGCACAAGGTCGTCGAGGGTAAGTTACCCTCGATAAAGGAAGTTCGCATCTGCGCATAAAGAAATTCAACTCACTCAC